AATATTTCTCATTGAACTCCCTTTATGCCCTTTACATACCCAGTAGAAACACCTTCCTGTTGCTGCTGTGTAAAGAAAACAATAACCACAGGGCTCAGCATAGGTCCTCTGAATGCTAAGCAGGAAAAACAGTGAATCTCAGGAAATACTTCATTCAAGCTTTGCCTGTAAAATTACATGGAATTGTAAAATTACATGGAATTGTAAAATTACATGGAATTGTAAAATTACATGGAATAAAATAGCCCTGCCTCCTCTCTCTTTTCTCTCCATGGTTTTGAGCATATGACTTTCTCCCACACACAGTTCTCGCTAAAACTGAGAACAGGGGAGAAAAGACAGCTAAAGTTTAAAGGAAACATTAACATGCTAAGTGTTTTCTTTGTACATAGATCAAAAGAACATGATTAGGACCAAACTCAATGTCCAGTATCTTTCGATCTTATTTTTCCTCCATAGGAAAAATCACTTCTTGATACATATTAAAGATACCATAAAATGTTACCTTCATTTAAAACTATGGAAGAAATTCCAAGAGCAAAAAAACCCAACTCATTGAAGGCTCCAGCCTAGAAGAAAATTTGCATTAGCTATGGGCCATCATGTAAATAGACTAGCTACAAGACTAATCACTAGCAGTAAACAAATATTTGAAGAGAAGGCTTCACACAGCACTTGCATGGCAAGAAATTAGCTATAAAAATCAATTATGCATCATTATCACCAGACAGTATGGATCCAGGAGATTCATCTCAGGAAACACAAACCAAGCATCTGGTCAAGTGCAAACACCTCATTTTGCGATTTATAGTCCAGCCAGGGACACATCATTCACAGAGGTCACTTACCTTATCCTCTTGGGAAGGGAAAAAGGAATCTTAAAGCAAAGGCATAATGAAACAGTAAAGTCAGTCCTTGAAAATCACTGAAAAATAAACTCTAAGCTGTGAATAATGCAAACAAATTTATTCATATAAAGGAAGAGAAAAGCTTCTCCTACTGTGAACTGCCACATTCTGCTCAAGATGAGGTTTCTATTGTGGCTTTATGTAAAGGGAAGAATTTAGGCTGCAGTGAAGAGTGGAGTAACTCCATTAGTGCTCTATATTCATGCTTGTGGTGACCAAGGGAAGACTGAGCAGAAGTGGATCCCTAGTTCATACAAAATTAAATTCTTTTACTGTAGTCAGTTTATTGATCCTGTTTCACTTCAGCAATGGAATAGGTTTTATTAATTCAATTCCAAGTGATTGAAATCTAGTGGAAGTTCTCACTCTGAATCAGGTCTTTGGAAAGACTTTCTACTCAGTAAGCCTGAAACTAAATCTCTGTTATAAAAAAAAAAATTAGGTATTTGTTTCTTGAGGCAGATGCTATCTCCTTTTGCTTAATACTTGTTCAGGACAATAGGGTTTTAGTACTCCAAATAATAATCCAGGACAACTATTATAAAACTAACATATAAATACTCATACTACATCATTATTCCATTAATAATGAGGTAATAGACTGGCATCTATGTTCTTTGAGTAGCCTTGAAAATCTCCACGATTGCTGTCCATTTCTTTGCTTGGTTTTTGTTCTTTTTTAGAGAAGAGACCAGTATTAAATTGGAGATGTCTATGTACAATAACAGATTAAAACAAAATTCAAAAGAACAGGTGGATCTGTGGATCCAGGAAGAAACAAGAATAAATCCTCAAGAGATGCTTTTTCAAAGATACCTTCAAACAAGCTTGGGACCTTGTGTGTCATTGGTGTGAAACAGATATGAAAAAACTTCAATTCATTTAAGTTTTCCTTCTTGCTGTAGCATTTTTCCTTATGAAACACAATTACCACAGTAGGTCTCTCAGTGTATTCCCAATGGTCTCATCAACAAGAAATAGTGACAGGAAATCTTACAATGAAAATCCATAACATGCACCTCTTATGACTCAACAACAGGTACCACTAGAAAGAAGGTTAAAAAGTAAGATTGGAAGGTCATCGTGTGATGAAATATAGGTAGCAATTGCAGACAAGGAAATGGCAGCATTATGAACATATTTTTACCCAATGATGAACAGCTTCAGACAGCACTACATGTAGAGGCAGAGTGAAGCAGATGCAGCATTCAAAGCTGCAGTACAGACCAGCCCAACTATTAGATTCAAGAGTGTAAAATCTAGCTTCAAGGTAGATTGTTAGCTCAAAGATGAAACCTCGCAGAGAGAAAAGGAGGTAGCAGCACCCAGTCTTTCTCCCAGAGTAGCAAAAAAAAAAAAAAAAAAATCCAAAATACTTTCAAAGCAGTAGGATAAGCACATTTCCCCCTTTCTTATTTTCTTAATTTTCCATATTTACTCCTTCTCTGATTTTCCTTCTATTCTTCCTATTAACTGGCTTACCTTTTCATAGTCCACTTATTTTCTGGAAGGCAGCAAGAAGCATCTGTTAGCTTAGAAAAGATCTCCATGCTTGTACTTCACTCAAATATATTGGAAACAGCTGCACATTTCTACCAAGCAAAGCTTTTGTTTTTCTTAATTTCTGCTACCTACAATCTCCTTTTGTTTCCCTCAAAATTTACCTTCAGTTAAGTGCACTGTATTTCATTGCTGCTGCTGCTCCTGGGTATATATTGTTGAGTTTTTCTTTACTGTAACTCTATGAATTGACTGGCTATTTTTCATTAATTTTGCAGGGCTATGGAGAAAAAATAAAGCAATTTCTTTACTTTAGAATTCTGCCATTTATTAGCATAATAAAACTCTCAAGAAATTGCAGTTTTCTAAGTAATATCATGTGCAGAGGAACTTACAAGGGCTTTATTTTAAAGCTAGGTAAAACAGAATGAGAAATGGATGGAATTCAGATAGAAAAATTTAGAAAATTAGAATTTAGGGAATGTGCTCTGAAGTGACAATGATGATGCTGTTCTGATTTTAATCACATCACAAGAGGCCACATAAGCTAGAGCTGGTATTTCCAATCCTTCTTAATGGCTAAACAAAACACAAGCAGGTGCTGGGAAGTGTGACACTAGAAATAAATGGATGTATTATTTTCAGTTTCTGAATGTGAATTCCATGTGGAACGAGTTCTTCAATATTGTGTCTATAAATATTCACAGAATTGTGTACCATGGGTTGAGTAAGCTTCCAAAAACTTTGTAATTTGCATGTCTTCTAGCATACCCAGCACCTTTTCCAAAGAGAAGGTGGTATTTTATGGTGGGTTTTTTTTTGTTGTTCTTGGTTTGTTTGCTTGTGTTTTGTTTTTTTTAAGTTCACAAAGGCAAAACACCAGTCTGCAAAGATGTCTAGGTGTCTAAATACCACATTAATTGTTCAGTACCACCTCTGGACCCTCAGTCCTACACAGCCAGCTGCTGCTTTCTGGCCTCAGGGTAAATCTATGGATACCTTAACTTTAAAAAGTCCCTTCCCATTCTCCTTCAAAGTAGGGATCCAGCTGTTCCGTGATGGAACATGTGCAGCTGTGAATAATTCCAGGCCAAGGTGATTCTAGAGATGCCTTTTATAGATGGAACAAGTGCAGAGCTGGTTTCTCAGAGGAAGCATCTGGTAGGTAGTGAGGCTCTTTGGAAAAATTAACCACGAAGTTACAGTAACACATATGGATTGGTCCACATTACACCTCAAAATACACATCACGAATGAAAAGCACAGAGAAACTGCCTATTAAAGTCACGGCTTTGACACTATCCAATAGGTACACATCTACTTCCCTCACCTTCCACTTCACTCTTGAAACAAATCAGTTACATGCAAAACTGTCACAACCCTGCTATTTGAAATATTGCCCTGCAAAATGAATGCCTGGAGCTGAAAAAATCCCACTTCTATATTCAGCAGTTTCTATCTGGCCATTCATGGGAACGGAGCACAGGAAGGTAATAGGAACAGTTCTGCAGGTCTCTCACTCCATTTTCTGAATTGACTGCCCTAGTACTGTCCAGTCCTGCAATGAAACAATGCAGGACTACATCTATACCATGTTACAGCCCAGAGTGCAAGAATGGCTGAGACACAAATTTCAAGAGGACAAATTAACTACTGTGATGATATTTTATTATTTTTATAGTCCACAAGCTAAGCAACTACTCCACAGACCTCAGCTCCTGGTCTACTTACATGGGGTTAATACATATAGCCAATGGATGAGGAACACATTATGTGCATCTTTTTTAAACATAAAATAGCACGATGATAATGTAATTAGTTGTACCTTTTCTATGTACAAATATACCAGCCCACTATCACTTATAACTCAGCTAAGGAAAATACCTGGTCCTACAGCAAAGTAAAGCTAGAAATGTCCAGTGTGTCTCTTGCACATCTAAAAGTAGAAAACATAACAAGGACAGTGAGAGAATTGCAGCAAGTCAAACTGTTTTCTTTAGAATAAACTGACCACTTACTGTACAGGAGTAAAGTTTCTTCCAAGGCTGTTGGACTGCATGAAATTGTAAATATAATGTGTATGACCTTGTTCTGTCTCTGCTGTGAGGAATTTTGTAGGCCTGAATTCAAAAGCATAATGCCAAGTTTCAAGCTACACCTACCTATCTAAGCAATCACAAACTGCAGAAGGATGTTTTAAGGCTGCTTCTCTTGTTATCAAAAGCGCACCACCAAGTAATGAGATTGTCAACAAAACCTGACAAACCTTGCTTTGGAAAAAAGAATCTGTTCACCAACACTGATACTTCACACAATACTCTATGAGCAGTTCCTGGCCGTGTTTCTTGCTTCATCAGACATGAAAAAATTAGGATAGGAAGGTAGCATTCAGTGCAATTGGCCACAATCCCTTGAAAATTTTCTGGGAGTAGTCCTCTTTAGTAATTTGCTGATAATTTCTCACCTTTCACTTGCTAGCAACATGAATAATGATGGTAAATCAGATGCAAAGCAGGAATAGTTTATGCCTTCTATTGAAGATACTTTTTGGCCACAAGACCAGTGGCTTTGGAATTTTGTTAAATACTTTCAGTGTTTACTTTTGTAGCTATTTATTACTACAGTTATCCAGAATGCATCCCTGTTAGTCCTGGATCAGTTATTCAAATAAAGGACTGTAGTCTGGTGGATTCTTCTGCTGTCCACATGGCTCCAGTAGTAGCTCCCCACCGGATGATGTGATGATTTCTTCCTGGAAAGATAAAACCAATTAAAATATCAAAGATCTAAGCCTTCCCTATCTTCTAAGAATAGCAATAAAGACCATCACTCCACTGTCATTGGCAACCAATTATGAATAAACACTTGATAGAATAATTACAGATCAGAAAAGGGATCCTATCAACTAACCATTTTCTTCATGCTTTGTTTTTCTTGTACTTATGCTGGTAGTAACTTGTGTGTTAGTGTACGCAATCAGTGTACGCAAGAGGCTGAGGTTTGTACTATTTGCAAGTTGCTACACTACTTAGGAAAACCAGCTACAGATGCCCATAAAGGATGTTCTCATGGGTTAATTTAACAGACATATGCCAGTCTTCCTATGCTATTTCCACAGTCATTCCACAGGTTGAAAGAAGCTTCCCCAGGCAGACAGAGCAAGAGTTCAACATTGAGTGCTCACACACAACACGAACAACTTTCTGACTGATTACAGAAATGTGAGACATTAACCTTACTAGGATAAAGACAGTCTTTACAAATAGCACCTATTCTCATTAATTAAATACTCACATGCCAAGTGTGTATTTCCAGTAACTGATTACCAATTCACTTACTGTAAAAGTAGATAATCTGGTCCTTGCATTTATTCCTACAGTAATGATTGTCCATTTTTGGTTTTGTAGAAGTTTAAGATTTATAGATGCACCAAAATGAGCCAGGATCCAGACGTGGTATTGACTAAAATAGCAACCCTTCATTTGAATGTTTAGATCCAAGTTATGGATCTATATATGGGCCTAACATATTCAAAAGCTATCTAGTTTCTATTGAAATTCAATGCAAATTTGGTGCCTGATTTCTTCAAAACGCATGCAAGCTCCCAGTTGTCATTCCTTCCCAGTCACTACATCAGATAAGTTCAGAAAGTTACTACCCAAACTAAATGATTTTCAGAACCAAAGAACCACAGAAGCATTTAGGTTGGAAAAGACTCCGAGATCACTGAGTCTAACCTGTGATGGATCACCACCTTGTCAACTAGATAAGATTATGAGGAAGTAAATACAAATATTTAGTAATTATCTTTGAGATTTTATTGCTGCTTTCCACACAGTATTTAAATGAAAATAATAAAAAGAGAAGATTCATGGTGACACTTTATTCTGTAAGGTTTGTTCTTTCAGCTAGTGGTTACCACTTGTGTCTGTCAGCTGAGTTACTTGAATGACCTGTTCTTATTTTCTTTAATCAAAATGAAGCAAAATGAATCAATAAGTATAAGCAAGTAAAAAATTAATTATAATAGTCCTGCTCATTTTGATTGAAAGTGAAAAAGACCCTCAAAGAGAAGTCCATGCAACCCGTGGGGTGGGAAAGTATACTCTTGACAAAAATAGTCCTGAAGAAAGCAGCATTTTCTCCAAATGATACAGCAATAGCTGCAAGAGAAAGTGTGCCCACAGCACAACCATTTACATACAGATTGCTTAGTTGGTTACCAGAAGACTTTGGGACTCTTGACAGTGTACTTCACCAGAAAGAGCAGGAAGAAAAGCTTCAAAGAAAACCATGCGACAGACAGGATGATGCCTCCTGAAGGGATTGCCAAAGAGACTGATTTAAGATAGCTATAAGTTAGACAGTTAAGAGAATTGTGTGTTGACATTAAAGATGAACCAGTTTCTCTGATAGACTTCCTACAGGGGTAGCTATTAACTATTATCAGGGGACACCTAAGAAAATGTTGGTTTTTTGTTTTAATGGCAGGAACTAAAAGTCATTCTGCTTCTGACAAGTGCTCTACTGCTGTCTGTAGATAGATGTGTCTCTAATACACTTAGCATGAGCTGTGATGAAAATACAGGAACGTAGCTGGAGCACAGCTGGTTGGAATTGGTTGTCACCATCATCCCTCTACAGGAGCAGAGAGGATACTACATGAGCGAGAGGTCCTACATCCAGCACCTGACAATCTGCATTTGAGGTGTTGCATATCTGCTTTTCTTTCCCTGATAAGCCTCTGGTTTGACTCTTTCCAGTTGTACTGGGTCTGGCTAGAGTAGAGTTAACTTTCTTCACAGCAGCCTCTGCTGAATTGAGATGTTGTGTTTTGAATTTGTGGCTAAGATAGTATTGATAACACACCATGGTTCTGGCCATTGCTGATCAGTTCTTGCACAGCATCAAGGCTCTCTTTTTCCTACTTGGGCCCTTCTGGCAGAGTAGGCTGGAAATAAGGGAGAATCAAGGAGGGGACACAGTCCTGCTGGTTGACCCAAACTGGCCAAAAGGATATTCCATATCATATAATGTCATGCTCAGCAATAAAAACTGAGGCAGAGGAAGAAGAAGGGAACAGGGGATTTTGGCTTCCAAGGTGGCCATTGAGAGAAGATTTCATCAAATTAGGGGAGGATGTATTTTTTAGTCAAACGGGACACCTACTATATCCCCATGTGGAAATACAACTTGTGGACATGTAATAGTGATCCGTGAGGGGACACTAAGAGAACACCAAACAGATGTTGCAAACTAGGTAAGGTAAAAAAAAGATTTAAAAGAGGGGGAATTTAGAAGAAAAATAACCTTTGTGAGGCTGAACACTTCAAAAATAAAAAGCCGTGAAGAAAAGGAGGAGCAAAAAACATATAAAAATACTTAGAGACAAGAGTGAGAAAAGGATAAAAAAGGGAAAAGGAAATAGAAGAGAGAGGATGAAGAGAAATTATAAGGGTGGCTAAGAAAAAAGGAATTAAAACTGATGAAGATGGAGAGAGATACAAGATCATAAAAACAACTTATGCTATCAGAACAGTGTTACTGTTTAGTTACAGTCTGGCAACAGGAAACAAAAGTCAGAGGCAAAGTAATTCAAACCCACATAAAGTCGAGTAGTAAATTACTCTTGTAAGATTGCTTTGAGTAATAAGGAGTGACCCTTAACATATCCCTGAAAGGGAACCCCTCCATGTTCTCTTCACCCTCTTTACTGCAGGGCCCTGCTCCCTTGCTTTTGCACATTACAGCCCTCACATCAAAAGGTAGACAAATGCTGAAATTTCATTGAAAGGCCTTTCTATGGCATTTCCAATCCAATTTTCCACAGGAAAAAAACTGAAAAAGCATTAGCTCTGTGAGCCCTTATTAGTCCATTTGCAGCCAAGGAGAGCATGTGTTGTATAAGAGGACACAAATACATGCTGAAGCATTTTAAAGAAGGAGAAAAGCCTTCTGATTCACTGCAACAAGAGACACACACTATGAACGTTACAACTAGGCTTAGTGTAGAATATTCTTTCCCCCACTATGGCCATTATTATTTTCCAGTGTGGTTTCAAATTACACAGCTCCTCGTTAAATTATTAATTCGTTCCACTCAGCTATTGATCTCTACCTAGCACAAGTGTTACCTTGTGAAAATCGATCAGATCTGTGAGTGTTGCGTGTCGGTTTGGATCTACCCCCAAGAAGCTGTAGAAATCCCCTGAAGCATCAACCAGGAAATGCTTGAAGCCGCTCTGCTGGCGATAAGACAACGCGTAGCCCCAGATTTTCTCACTGACTCGCACCAGGAATGTGCCTTCAGACTTATTCATCAACAACTCCTCTGCCTCCTGACGGCTGATAATACCTGGCAAAAAAAAAAAAAACCTATAGTTATGCAGGTAACAAGTCTGTCAGAGGCAACCAAACGCAACAAATACAGAGCAGTGGTGAAATTAAAGTGGTGTAACTTCTGAAGACTGAAATGTTTACATTCAGGAGTAGAAGCGATGGAGATAATATTTATGCTATTTGCTTCTGAAGGATAGCTATAAGATGGAGTCTGGTGGGATAAGCTTTTAAATTCTGTGATTAAGAATTTTTTTTCCCATCCTTACTGCTTTTCCAAAGAAAGTGCATGAATGCAACTGGCCTATCAGACCAGAGAATTCTGTACAAGGGACCATTTAAGCAGATTAGGATGGTTTGGCATTGCAATTTAAATTTGCAATACATTGCTGGTAATTGCAATTATATTGCAGTTTTTTGGACTGTTACCTTACAAGTATTTTATAGGTCCTAAAGAAGGAACATAAAGCAAGTGCCAAGAGAAAAAGTATTTGTCTGCTTTTGTACATACACACACACACATATCCATAGATGCACATAGATAAACTGGAGCACAAAGAAATCAAATCCTGCTCATAAACATGGATATGTTAGATTACTTATTCACAGGCTTACATTTCTAGGAAACATTGTCACAGAGGAAAACAAGAAACAAAGATCATTCGGCATTTCCTTCTGGGACCTTTCAGGCTTAATAGCAGAGTAATAGTCTCCTCCAGTTAAAAACTGTAGCTGTGAGTTAAAAGAGTCCCCACACAAAGAAAAGATTGAATATTGTATTTGTTGACCAGAAGTGAGTTCATCTTTATAATTCATAGTGAAAAATAATGACCTATGCACCTTGCTCTACAACAAGAGAACACAAAATTAGTTGGGGTTTCTTGCAGTATGTGTCATCCTGTGGTCACTTTCTCTGTAAGCTAGTTTACCTCTCTGGACAAGTTCAATCAGGAAAAAAATTTTCTCCCCGTACCCTGGTCACCAAGTAGTTGATTTATAGGTGAATTTATTCCTTTATTGCATGACAAACTTATTTGCCAGGTTGAAAGTATCACAAATTCAGATTTTCAGAGTCTACTTTAAGAAAATTAATTTCTTTTACAGTTTTACTTGATGCAATGGGGCTCAGAGGTCCCTACTGAAATGTCCTCAGTACTAAGAAGAAACACATATAATTTGCTGAATGACTCTCATTTCTATGTTCTGAAGGATACTACAGCATCTTTGCACCACACATGCAAAACAGGCAGTAAACATGCAAACATAAGCATTTGTTTAGAAACAGCATGTAACTGCTCAGTCAACAGTGTCAATTGCTGCACTTTGCAAAACTAAAAATATTTCTATTGAAAGTATTCCAAGATGATTTGTTAAAAATTCCTGAACTAAGTTCAGATAAAAAGATAGTACCAATATGAATCCTTACTATACAGCATATTATGTGAAACCGTATCACTAGATAACAATATCAGGTGCCACGTGCCAAGAATTACACAAAAATTGATTCTGAAATCACAGAATTTGTTAACGCAGTGTTCACTCAAATTGGCCTGATTTAAATATACATGAAAGGTTTTATTAGTGATTATGGTGCCTACTTCCTTGACAAATCTCTGCTGGAGATTTGTAGATGAGCCCCACTAACAAGCCCAGAGCATTCAATAACAGGAAAGGATAAACAGTCCCATCACCAGCAAATACTGCATTCATCACAATAATATTTATACTGTAATCCCAGATTGAAACCATACTGGTAATTTTTGGCATAGGAACTGGGTGCTGTTACCTGTTCTCTAAGCAGTGTCAGAACTGTTATGCAGCCCGGATAGGGAACAACGTGGCCTAGATAATTTAGCCTCTATGAATACAGAGGATTTGTAAAAGAAGGGAGCTGTAAAAAAGTAGAGGTTTTATTATAGAGTGGACACTATTCTTAGGATATTTCTAGGGTTTGAATGACCATCACTATCAAGCATATAATATAAAATTCATTTAGCATTGATTAGTTTAATAGTAAACAATCTGTTTTCATTTTACAATAGTAAACTCCTACCAGTGGAGTTAAGACACTGCAGGCTTCCACATGATGTTAATCTTCTTTGCCAGACCTTATTTTTGTTCTGGGCACTTTATATCATTGAGTAGGTAAGGAATGCTACATTGCTCACAGCCAAGTTCTTTTTTTGTTTTAATTTTCTTTTCTACTAAAAATGGCGTAATAAATTATCAGCCTGATGGTTTCTTTCCTTTCTCTCTTCTGCTTCTGTTAACAGCCCATGAGGAACCATCTCTCCCCACCATCTCCTCCCTCTCCTTGCCTCCCAGTTACTGTATTTGTCTCTAGTTCAATTCTTCAGTGAGTGATTATTACAGCAATGAAAGTCTCCCTCTACCCTTTGAAAACCATTATCCTGTTCTCAAGACAATTGGAAAAAGAGTGGCACTGTTCACTTCTGAGACAGCTGTAGAGATAGACAACATCTCTGAAAATCCTACATGAACATTTGAAATTGTTTTGGGTAAAATCATGAAACTTTGGTTTCCCAAAGCTCCAGTAAGAGGTTTAGATTCACAGATGCTCTTATTTGTGTTAGTTGGGATATTAATTAGAAATATTATCTAGAAAAGAAACCAGTGATGCTTTGAAAACTAATTTTCCCCTCGTTTTCAATCTTGCTATATATTGTCTTATAAAACAAACCAAAACCAAAACCAAATGAACAAAACAAAACAAAAAAAAAAAAGGAAAAAATGCAACATCTTCACTTGGTTTAAAGCAACACTGCATCAAACAGTAATCTTTTCACATAAATCGTTTAAATAAATATCTCACAATTAATTGATCTATCATTAGTATCATCATTTTAACTCATCATTTGGCCAAACCCCAGCATATTTGGACAGCAGCTACTCCACTGAAACACATCTTCTACCCGTCATGCCAAAGAATTTCTCTCAGATGTACAAACTGCTGTTGTCTATAACAAACCATAAAGGAGCAACGGGCTTTTGGCTGAGAGAGGATCAAAGGTGTAAATAACTCCTCTCAAAAGCATGGAAACCCTATCAGTTGGCTTGAGTTTTAGCCCCCTGCCCCCCAGATTCACTGCATCTATCACATTACATGCATCTACCTCTCCACTTTTAACATTCTAGTTTTGCAATGCTTGTAGATATTAACATTTTGAATTCTTAGCTAAAGAATAACATTTTGTAAGACAGTTATTTAGAATCATGGGATATTCATCATCAACTGACATGTTCCCAATTAACAGCCTCATTTATAAGATACGGGGCCTATAACGAAAATTTTTAGATGATAGGCATGTCTTACCATCTTTGTTGTAATTATGTTCTTTTCACTGCCACCAATCTTCCAAAAAGGAAAAAGAACATCCTAATATTTAGGGTGTACTAAGCTCACATGGGAACTGGAGGGTTCATTATGAATTTAGTGAGCACAGCTAAGAAGTCTTGATGCTGCCTTCCAATTTTACAGCAGTCTCAATAGTAGAAAATGCTATTCTGAAATATTATGCAATAACAATTCAGCTTCCCACTCTTCCTTCAGCATTATCCTCCATACATCCTTGAGTGAAACCCAGGAGGTGAAATACACAAATATTTGCTACGAGAATGCCATAACAACCCTGAAGCCAAACTAGAAAAGCTGATGAACTTTACCAACAAGGCAAGAATAAAATTATTTTTTCATTATTATACAGATTAAGTTACATCATATCCATCATTGTAATCTACCAGTGGTCTAATGTACCATATGTAATAATAATGTCTAAATATACAGACAATTTGGCTTTTAATGATCAGTATATTTTAATATACAAATGTGCATTTATATATGTCAAGAGGTTGGCTAAGATTAGAGGGACAGCAGGTACAAACACAGCCCAGAAGCCCTCATTTACCCTCCTGCAATAGAAGGTGCCTGCTCAGACAATGTTTTCTCTTCTCGTATTTTTTCATTAGCTTGATCTCAAACACTCTATTGCATGAGGTTTTATTCACAGAGAAAAAGTGTCACAAATACCGGCATGAATAAATGAGAGCAATGTAATGAGAGCAATCATGCCAAAAGTGCTTCCATGACCATTATGAAAAGCCTTCTATTTCATGCAAAATTGACTTGTTGAACAATTATGAATATTCACATGTAATCAATGAAGAAGAAAGAGATTCATCCTGTTTATGCAACTTAAGACATCTAAGGGCAGCATGTGATTTAGGTAACTAATCAGGATCCAAAGCAGGGGGGAGCCAATACCAGTATCTCTTTTGTTTCCAAGGGGATTAGATCAAAGCCCATATGAATACAAATATTCCTGGCAATCATTGCATGAATGACTCGCATGCTAAAGGTTATACAGACACATTACACATAGAGCAAGTGTAAACACAAAATAAATGAGTAAACACAAGGAATTATGAAAAATTAGCAGGTAACTCCTCAATAATGTAAAGGACTATATTTGCTTAATTATACAGGCAGATCTAGTCAGTAATTTGAGAGATAGTGATAAAACAGCCACAAGGGTTAGAAGGATCAATTTGCTAAGCATCAGCCAATCTCCTCCATTTTTTTGAGCTGAAAAACTGAGCTAGACAGACATACTACTCTATCTCATTTGGAATAAGTCATTTCCCAGTGGCAAAAGATCAAATTTCAAAAAAAATTCCAAATCAACTTTCTCTCTCCAGGACTTAGTTTAAGGGTCAAAAGTTGGATTACACCTCACTGTGGAAAAAAAAAAAAAGAGGGAAAAAAAAAGAGGAAAAAAAAAGAGGAAAAAAAAAGGCTGAAATAAATTTCAGAAAAGAAAACTACAAAAGCCTGAAAACAACTTTGTATAGAACAGATTTTAGGATCTTAGGCATTTTGAATCAAAACAAAAAAGTTCTGATTTGAGGAAAGGAAAATACCTCATGGGTTTTTCTTCCTACTTCACTATAAGTTAAAAAATCATGTAGCTGGAAAATCAAACTTACTTGGGATCAAAATCT